GCATCTGCCTGTATTATGAAGGGCTTGTCAATATCTGGGTGCCTTAGTACTGGTTCGGCAGAAAAAAGTCTCTTTAGTCTCTCAAACGCTGCTTGGCACTCCATTGTCCATGTTAGTGGCTGGCTAGGTTTTACTGAGGATGTTCCCTTCGTTTTTAGTAAGTTGGTGAGGGGCACGGCTATCTGTGCAAATGAGGGGATGAATTGGCGGTAAAAATTTGCAAAGCCCAGGAAACTTTGTAGTTGCTTTCTTGTGCGGGGTGGTGCCCATTCTAATACTGCTCTGACCTTCTCTGGGTCCATTTCAATGCCCTGTGGGGATATGCGATAGCCTAGGTAGTCTATCCTTTCCTGGTGGAATTCGCATTTTGAGCGTTTGGCATATAGGTGAGCGGCTCGCAGCTTCTTTAAAACCGCTCTGACAAGTTTGACGTGTTCTTCTTTTGTTTCGGTAAAGATAAGAATGTCGTCCAAGTAAACAAGGACCCCTTAAACAGGTGCTCCCTTAGAACGTCATTGATTAATTGCATAAAGACTGCAGGGCCCCTTGTAATCCAAATGGCAAGACTTTGAATTGATAGCACCCCATGGGGCAGTTAAATGCAGTCTTCCATTCGTCCCCTTCCTTGATTCTCACGCGATAGTAAGCTTCCCTTAAGTCTAGTTTAGAAAAAATTTTCCCTTTCGATAGGTGTGACAGCATGTCTTTCATGAGGGGCAGCGGGTATAGGTTGCTTTCACTGATTGTGTTCAGGGCCCTATAATCCACGCATAAACGTAAAGAGCCATCCTTCTTCTCTCTAAAAAGGACCGGGGCAGCCACTTTAGGCTTAGCTGGTTCAATGAAACCTCTCTCCAGGTTTTTTTTATAAATCTTTCCATTTCCTCCTTCTCCTTTGGGCTCATGGAGTATAATCTGGGTTTCGGGAGTTTTGCCCCAGGCTTGAATTCAATGGTACAGTCTGTGGGTCGGTGGGGGGGAAGCTCATTCGCCCTCTCCTCACTGAAGACTTCAGCAAGGTCCCTATATTCCTCTGGTATTTCTGTTAATCTTTTTTCCTCTCCTATGGATGCTTTTTCTATTCTTGATTCTGGTAGCCTCTCTTGGGGTTTTAAGTCCATAGGGTCCCCCTTCGGGAATTTGATTTCTGTCGTCCTCCAATTTACCCAGGGGTTCCATTTTTTCAACCATTCCATCCCTAGAATCATTGGGCATTCCATACCTGGGGTCACCACAAACGTTAAGTCCTCTTCATGGTTGCCCAGGGAGAGGTGTATTGGCAGAGTGGCTAGGGTAGCTGGCACCCCCCCTGCTATGGATCCATCTAGCTGGCCAAATGAGATTGGTTGTTCCAGTCTCCTGGATGGGATGCCCAGATTCCCCACTAGTGTTGGGCTAATGAGGCAGCGGGTGCAGCCAGAGTCTATTAAGGCTTTCACCTTCACAGCTTCGGGCATGGGGGGGATTAATATAGTCACTGTTTTGAAGATGGGTGTGATGCGTCCACTTACCAGGGGTTCGCCTTCCGAGCTGTCATCTGAGGCATCCACCGTCCCTGTGGTGTAGGCTGGAGTTCTTTCCCCTTGGTGAGCAGAGGTGGGGTTTTCTGCAATTTCCATCATTTTCATGGCTGTTTCTTTTGGCTTAGCTGAATACCCTCTGGGTTTGTTGATTGGGGATCTGTCTGGGTTGTGCTGGGGGGCCTTTGAGCGGCATTCTACAGCTCGATGCCCTTCTCTTCCGCACTTGAAACACCCCATCTGCTTCTTGGCTGTATCCGATGATTTCACCGGTTGGTGTGTCAGCTCAGGCGGGGGGCGGCTCCATTGTTTTCCTCGGCGATGCCTCTTCAATATGTCGATCTCTGCTTCCTCTGCCAAGACGTACCATTCCTCAAGTCGATGTGGGTCTCCTCGGGGCAGGCAAGCATCATATAGATCATAGTTTAGTCCGTCTTTGAAACGGCCAAGGAGGATGTCTTCTGGCCAATTCAGTTTGCTGGCAATGGCTCGGAATTCTTGTGTATACTCAGCCACTGGGCGTTTGCCCTGCCTCATCGTTGTTATTCTTTCACGGGCTTTGCGATCAGCCAGGGGGTCTTCAAACCGTCTTCTCAACGAGGACATGAAACGGTTGAAGTTACTGAGTTCTGGGGCATTGGAGTCATGCAGGTTCACCACCCAATCTGCAGCTGGTCCATCCAGGGCAGATTGCACGATCCGGATGCGGGCTTTGTCGCTGGGGATGTCCTGCCCATATTCCTCCATGTAGCTGAGGACTTGGGTTAGGAAAAACCCCAAGCGTGTTGGCTCCCCTTTGAATTTCACCTCCAACGGTGGACGTCTTGGAATGGATCGGTGCCTCCATTGTGGGTGGTAGTGTCTTCCGTCCAGATTTCCATCTGTGGTCCGGTAGGGGGTGGGAGCTCCTGGATCAGTAAATGTCCCTGGGGTTGCAGGTTCCACGTCCCCCTCGGTGTCTCTCCCTTTGTGGCTCCAGGAACTGGGGCGGGCGTAGGGCTCAGGAATCTCCTCTCCTAGGGAGCTGAGAGTTCTCTTCATCAGGTCAATAGCTCTCTCTAGGATCCAGTCTGAGTACGGCATACAGCTTCCTCCCTCTTCACTTGCGTGCAGGGATTTCTCCATCTCCTGCTTCCATTCTGGTTGCTTGGTCCCCCGTCTCAGGGTCACTTTTCTTGATTCCTTTCCCCACTCGCTTTTCTTTCCAACGCCCATCGACCAGCGAGGCTTGTGGTCCTGTGTCTCCACCACTTCTTCTTCTGAGAAATCTGGCCTCTCGGATCCCAACATCTGGCAAGGTTCCAACTGGGTCAGCGGCTCTCTTTCCAGGGAGTTTTCTCCCTCTCTTGCTTCGTTGTCTGACATGGTAAATTTTTGCAAAATCCCCCGGCAAGGGTCTACCTTCCAGGTGGATTAATTTTGCAAGTCCTGTCTAATGTAAGGACCCACCCCACTTTGCATCTTAAGAAGACAGAACTCTTGGAATAGCTCTTCCAACAGGAATCCTTTATTAAGAGAAAATGGTTGCAGGCATGCTAGACAGGACTTGGGGTTCAAGCTCTCCCATTCAAGGTTTTAAGGGGTTCCCCAGTAGTCCCACCCAATCAACCCCCCTTCCAGTGATAGTTTCAAGTATCACAATTCCATCCCCTTTCTTCTTCCGTCTGGATGGAGACTTCAGATAACTACATGAAAGGCAATTACTCTTCTTTGATATGTTAAAGCTTAGAGGCCACAATAAACACACATTCAGTCCTTTGAAGTGTGCTGAAGGAAGTGAGGGCCATAAAGCCCCTTTGCTCTCCCCCTTTTCTCCCTCTTATGGCAGAATCCAGAGAAGGCAGAATTGGGAGTTTCTATGTTTGATAATTAAAGATGAAATATAATTGGATTCTGACACGTTCCTTATATGTTTTAGCCTCCAGTCCCCTAATCATCTTTGTTGCTCTTCTCTGTACTCTTTCTAGAGTCTCAACATCTTTTTTACATCGTGGTGACCAAAACTGGATGCAGTATTCCAAGTGTGGCCTTACCAAGGCATTGAAGAGTGGTATTGCTACATGGAGATTCTCAGTCTCCACCTATCAGCATCACCTGTTTTACAACACAGTCCTTTCAGCAGTTCCAAAAAGGTTCTACACCCATTTGTGTTCTGAGTCAGGTGACCTTGAAGGGCACAGATAAGCCTCCAGGTGGCCTCAACGACTCTCAGAGGGAGTACTAATGACCAGATGACTGCAAGGATTGTAAATATTCTATTCTATTCTATTCTATTCTATTCTATTCTATTCTATTCTATTCTATTCTAGTCTAGTCTAGTCTAGTCTAGTCTAGTCTAGTCCAGTCCAGTCCATTCCATTCCATTCTCTCTCAGAGGGAGTACTGCAAGGAATGTAAATATTCTATTCTATTCTATTCTATTCTATTCTATTCTATTCTATTCTATTCTATTCTATTCTATTCTCTCTCAGAGGGAGTACTAATGACCAGATGACTGCAAGGAATGTAAATATTCTATTCTATTCTATTCTATTCTATTCTATTCTATTCTATTCTATTCTATTCTATTCTATTCTATTCTATTCTCTCTCAGAGGGAGTACTAATGATCAGATGGCTGCAAGGAATGCAAATCCTTCCATTCCCCATCATTCAGTCAGAACTGAAGAAGCTTCTTGGATGAGAAGTGAAACGTGTTCAAGGAAAAACAAAGAAAGTCCAGTTGCCTCTTGTAAAAGCACCCTTGGGTCCATTACACCATTACCAATGGTGTAATGTATGAGTGACATTGAGGGACCAATGATCTAAAAGTTAACCTATGGTCCTAGAACCGCATGTGACTTCATCCTCTTGTCATGTTCCTCAAACATTAAATCTGGCATGACGTCCTTACCTGTAAATTGTTCTAGTGAACAATTTATTATTACTGCTGTCAGGCACAAAAGACCAAGACCACACATGAAGTTCCCATTAATTTGATTTATTGTTATTCATGCCTACACACAGGACTTTACTCAGCTAATGGTTAGCACTGTTTTGGTACTAGATACAGGGCAACGGAATTCAAGAGGGCCTGGACTTAGTCCATTTGTGCTGATTCTAGGCTGATTCCTCTTTTGACTCTGTCCCTAGATTCTGCCACTCCTCCTACAGTTGCCACTGTAATATTTATGGCCCCCACAGTTAAAGTATGTAAAAAGCGAGTAATAAGTAAAGGAAGGTAAAAAGCAAGCTTCTCTCTTTTTTCTTTCTTGTTCTTCTTTTCTCTGTCTTTAACATTTTAGTTCCAATTAACTCTGCATAGCTACAATCTCCCGGTCTGGCTCATACTATCCTTATTTTATAACAGTTAGAACAATTTTTTTATTTTTTACTTTATGACATTGAGAACAATTAACCAGTGGAACAGCCTGCCTCCAGAAGCGGTGAATGCTCCAACGCTGGAAGTTTTTAAGAAGAGACTGGACAGCCATTTGTCTGAAATGGTATAGGGTTTCCTGCCTGAGCAGGGATTGGACTAGATGACCTCCAAGGTCCCTTCCAAATTATTATTATTATTATTATTATTATTATTATTAAATCCATCAATCATCTATTTTTCTTAATAATAGTCAGCATTCTCATGAAGGTCCAGCCTGTTTGTCAAGTTAATTTTATTATTTTCAAAGGTATTTTTATCAAAGGAAAAAAAATCATTCTGTTTTCTAAGAATTATTGTCCCTTTATATGTTTAACACTTTCTTAAATCACAATCCTGTTAATGTCAAGGGAACCAGGAGTCAGGGCAGTTCAAATGAATACAAATTGATCGGAAGCTTAAGCTGTCTACAAGAATTTGAACTATTAACAGTCAAAGCAAATTGGTGATATATAAGGATCAACAAAATTCAAGGAGGGCTGGAGTTAGTGAAGTGACTTTGACCCCTCCCTTGGGCTCAGCCTGGTCATCTCCTACATCTAAGCTTTTTTTTTGCTTTTAAGTCAAAATCCTTTAAGATAATATTTTCTTTTCTCAATTCCCAAAAAATAGGCGACTTACCAAGTGTTCTTTCCTGCCTGTCGGAAGATCTCTCCTAGGTAGTAAATTAATTGTGTAAAATAATTGGTTCAAATGTCCATAAAGGCGGCCTAGTGGTTTTGAGTGTGATGGTAATCCCTCAGTTCCCATGCCACTCAACCCACAAGCGACTACAAGAAACTCAATCCCTGTGGTCACTTCACAAGCACAGCTATCTAGAGCACGAGTGGGCAATCTCCCAATCTCTCCTGCTCCAGAGAGAGAATTTCATCAGGCAGAACATTCTGCTTGGCTGCCAGTCTTTACCACGATGCTGTCCCTGCTCGCTGAGACGCTGGCAGGGGCGTCCAACCTGCCATACGTCCTCACTCAGAAGCCTCCTCAACAGGAAACTATTGAAAAAAAAATATAGGTTATTTTGTGCCCATTTACTGTATTGGTCTTGCTAGTCTCATTATTTGCTTCATTTCCACCTAACAAATTACTCATGATGGAATATGGCCCGCATTAGGGAAAAAAAAAATGCACGCTATTGATATAACAGTAAAAGTCACCTATTATGATTACCCCCTTCCTGTTGCATGAATCACAGATATCTGAAATCAACTTTCCTTCCAGATGCCTTTTTATACCTTCCTGTACTGTACAATCTTCAAGAAAAAGGACTGCATCAGGGGACAATTAAAGGCCTATTGATATATGGTATTATAGCAGTAACAAAAAAGTTGCTAACTGTAGACCTCCAAGCATAGATAAGCCCTCACAGTTGAAAAGCCACACTCAGTATCTCTTCCCTTTGCATTGCGGCCCATTCATACATTCGGTTGCAAGTTCTTGAATGAGCAAGTGATGCCTGTGCCAACTTGGGAAAATCAACAAGTCAAGACAACGAATGCTGCTGAAAATCTAATTAAGGTCTTCTGAACATTTCAGATGCTAGCACTATTCAACAGTCAAGAAGAGACTGGCTGGTCTAGAGAAAAGAAGGATTGATAGCAGTCGTCCAGTATTTGAGAGGTTGCCCCAAAGAAGAGGGAGTCAACTTATTCCCCAAAGCGCCTGAAGGCAGGACAAGAAGCAACGGATGGAAACTCATCAAGGAGAGAAGCAACCTGGAATTAAGAAGAAACTTCCTGACAGTGAAGACAATTAATCAGAGGAACAGCTTGCCTTCAGAAGTTGTGGGTGCTCCATCACTGGAGGTTTTTAAGAAGAGATAGTCACTTGTTTGAAATGGTATAGGGTCTCCTGCTTGAGCAGGGAGTTGGACTAGATGACCCCCAAGGCCCCTTCCAGCTCTATTCTGATAGATTTAATCAATAAGGTTTCTATCTGTCTGTCTGTCTGTCTGTCTATCTGTCCGTCCGTCCATCCATCCATCCATCCATCCATCCATCCATCCATCCATCCATCCAAGGCCCCTTCCAGCTCTATTCTGACAGATTTAATCAATAAGGTTTCTATCTGTCTGTCTGTCTGTCTGTTCATCCGTCCGTCTGTCCATCCGTCCGTCCATCCATCCATCCATCCATCCATCCATCCATCCATCCATCCAAGGCCCCTTCCAGCTCTATTCTGATAGATTTAATCAATAAGGTTTCTATCTGTCTGTCTGTCTGTCTGTTCATCCGTCCGTCCGTCCATCCATCTGTCTATCCATCCATCCATCCATCCGTCTATCCATCCATCCATCCATCCATCCATCCATCCATCCATCCATCCATCCATCCATCCAAGGCCCCTTCCAGCTCTATTCTGATAGATTTAATCAATAAGATTTCTATCCATCCATCCATCCATCCACACTCAAGGTATATTTTTGGATCAAGCCAGATGCTGTAGGAGATGGCCAGGGTGAGCTTGAGGGAGGGGGTCAAGCCCATCAGGAACCTGGAGTCTGTTCGTGCCCAACAGAGATCTAAGTCCCGCCCTCCTTGAATTCCAGTGGCTCTCATCTACTGCCAATTTGCCTTGAGCGTTAGTAGTCCAGATTCTTGTTTAGATCCTGGAATAAATGTGTACTCACTTTGGACCTAACCTTGACTCCTTGTTTCTTGCACCCGACAAGGCTAGATCTAAATATTGCAAAGGATACTAAGTGTGTAGTTTGCATTGTGAGGAACAATTACTCATTTAATAACACAAGACTTACGTGTATTTATTTCTTCTATTTATATCTCGCAATTGCAACTGTGAGCAGCGAAAATAGGAGGTAAACTAAAATAGTAGTAATAGTAGTAGTAGTAGTAGTAGTAGTAGTAGTAGTAATAACAACAACAAGGATAAAAACAACAATAAGAGTACACTGGCACCAGAAAGCACCCAAATTACATAAACACAATTGTGTCCACCTCGACTTGAGCACCAGAACCAGAAGTTCATACCGCAGAACATTTGGTAACCAAAGACTGGACAGGCATTTGTCTGAAATGCTATAGGGCAGTGATGGCAAATCTTTTAGAGACCGAATGCCCAAACTGCAACCCAAAACTCACTTATTTATCGCCGGGTGCCAGGTGGGCGTGGCCCACTGGTTGGGCATGGCTGTGGAGGTCATGGCAGATTGGGTGGGTGTGGCCAAGGTGGGTGTGATCAATGTTGTTCCTGGGGAGGGATGCCTGTGGGGGCCGGGCAGGGTTGGGGGAGATCCAGGGGGTCTCTGGCAGGAGGTTCATCCTGCAGGGTGAGGCAAGGCGAAGCGGGGGGGGGGTGCCATTGTCACAGGGCAAGGTGAGGCAGGGGCCGGGGGAGCTGCTGCCTGACACCATCGGCCCTGCAGACAGAGGCCAGTGAGCGCATGGGTGCTGGGATGCATCCAGCCATGTGGGACCCCAGCAAGTTAGTGGGCGCTGGTTGAAGAGGGACAGTTGCCATCTAAGGGGCATGGCGCGCATGCCCAAAAAGAGGGCTTTGAGTGCCCTACCATAGGTTCACCACCACTGCTATAGCGTTTCCTGCCTGAAAAGAGGGGTGGACTAGAAGACCTCCAAGGTCCCTTCTGACTCGGTTATTCCATTCCATTCCATTCCATTATCAGCCAAAATATTGTAGTATATTGGAATTAATGCACATTGCACATTCATCTCTCTTAATCCAGGATTCTCCCACTGTCTTGACTCCCGCGCCAACCCCAAGGATGAACAAATCTGAAGAATTTGCAAATTTGGGAGCTTTCAGTTTGCACCTGAAAAGCCAGGTTGCAATCAGAAGTCCTTCCTGCTGCCCTTAGACAGGCCGAGAGCCAAATGAGGAATTTCATTTCATGTTTTCCGCTGGTACTGCTATAAATGTGGAACAAGAAACAAGATCACGTGAAGTGTTAATACCGCTTTACAATGCCTTGGTAAGGCCACACTTGGAATACTGCATCCCGTTTTGGTCACCACGATGTAAAGAAGATGTTGAGACTTTAGAAAGAGTGCAGAGAAGAGCCACAAAGATGATTAGGGGACTGGAGGCTAAAACATATAAGGACCGGCTGCTGGAATTGGATATTTCTAGTTTAATGAAGAGAAGGACGAGGGGGGACATGATAGCAGTATTCCAATATCTCAGGGGCTGCCACAAAGAAGAGGGAATCAAGCTATTTTCCAAGGCGCCTAAAGGCAGGACAAGAAGCAACAGATGGAAACTAATGAAAGAGAGAAGCAACCTAGAACTAAGGAGAAATTTCCTGACAGTTGGAACAATTAATCAGTGGAACAACCTGCCTCCAGAAGCGGTGAATGCTCCAACACTGGAAGTTTTTAAGAAGAGATTGGACAGCCATTTGTCTGAAATGGTATAGGGTTTCCTGCCTGAGCAGGGGTTAGACTAGATTAGATGACCTCCAAGGTCCCTTCCAACTTTATGATGATTATTATTATCCATATTATCCATTATCTATTCTGCAAGGCTCGAAAGTATGAAAAAATGGTCATAAGTCCCTTTTTCCAGTGTTGTTGTAACTTTGAACAGTCACCCAGTGTGACAATTTTAAGGCATGTGGACTTCAACTCCCAGAATTCCACAGCCAGCCTTGCTGGCTGTGGAATTCTGGAAGTTGAAGTCCACATGCCTTAAAATTGTCATGGCTGAGAAACACTGCAGATGAACGAATGGTTGAAGTCAAGGACTACCTGTACACACATTTGTTTTGGAACAAACCTCTACATGTTGAACCAGTATTGTGTGTGTGTGTGAGAGAGAGAGAGAGAGAGAGAGAGTGTGTGTGTGTAAGTGTGTGTGGAGTTGGTGATGATGACAGGACTCATCAAAATTCAACCTTTTCCCTTTCTTAATTGTTCCTTCCAAAGACAAGTTAGTTCTAGCTTAGAAGATAACATCTGCAGCCAGTCCAGATTCTTGCCCGTGCATCAGTGTAATGAACGTAGGTAAGAATTTATGAACCGAGTGGATCTTTTTTTCTTATCTTTTTTTTTTTTTTGGGGCACGGATGCTTTGATGCTCTTTGCAAGTGAAGCTCGCTGAAAAGGCGCCCCTTATTTTTATCCTGAAACCCCCAGAGGGAGATGAAAACTTTCCATTTGGGAAGGCAAAAAATAAATAAATAAATAAATAATAAAATAAAATAAAAAAATGTCCTTTCACGGAAGCAAAAGCTAACGCCATCTCTTTCCTACCCACCCACTCCTGCCCAGATCCCACTAACCTCCCATTTGATAGAGCCAGACAATCGACTTGCTTTAATTTACAGCTTCCTCTTTGTTTCACAGGCTAGCTGTATTTAATTTGGATGTGTGTGTGGGGGGGGGGGAACAGAGAGTGCAGAAAAGAACTTCGTAAAGAGGGGAGGGGGGGTGTCAAAATGGTACAGATGTCGACTTGTGGCTTCGGAGCTATTTCTGCAGCAACATCCGAAGACGAAACCAGACTCCAGGCTGGCCATAAAGTCAAACCCACGCCCTTAAACGAGGTGCCAAGCCGCAAAAGGAATTTGCGTCAACTGGGGAATACAACGAAAAGGGAAGAACTTCTAATTATAGGGTCTGGAAGCCGGAAGCCGTGAGTGATTAGGAGTTGAGGCACTGCTGTATGTTTACTCCGAGGCTTCCTCTCCTCTCCTCCTTGATAGATGAGGTTGGCCCCCCAAACAGGGTGGGGATTGAAGTTGCTGATGAGACACAGAGAAGCTTCCAGGACCGGGGACCGGGCGGGAGATGGTCTGGCTTCTGTGGCCGTGTAGTAACATAAGTCTTTTCAACTAGGCGTCAGTTGGTTAGCCCCGAGAAGGCCAAATTAGAGGGTAGGAAATCTCAGCTGGGTCCCTGCCGTGGAAAGGAAGGAGCAAGAGTGCGGGAGAGAAAAAACAGAGGAAACCAAAACCAGCTCCAAACATCTCCCCGGGACGTCCTATTTATAACACCTCTCCAACTGCCGGACTGCAGAGGAG